ACTCCTCCTCCTCCTCCTCCTCCTCCTCCTCCTCCTCCTCCTCCTCCACTAGATCTCTTCCTTGTCTGGGTGTCCCTCACCTCTAATCCCTCACGTCTTTGCTCTCCTACAGCTTTCGCAAGGTTGTTCTACCATCGGCCCTCCTTCGTCGTCCTCGACGAATGCACCAACGGAATATCTCCAGGCACGTGTCCTTTCCACCTCCAGCAGCTCACCTCCCCAGCAGATGTCGAGCAGGAGATCTACGATCGCTGCACTCAGATGAATCTGGGGATCTTCTCGATCTCGCACAAGATCGAGCTCAAGGAGTTTCACGACTGGTAACCCAGCATCTTCCGCTCTCGTCTTGCTGATCTCGGTGACAGGGAGCTCCACTACAAGGGCGACAGCGTCGGAGGATGGGAGATGTTCAAGTGCTCCGAGACTCGGTGAGCAATGCTTCCTCCCCAGCTCTCAATCTTACAGCTACAACTTCAGCGGCAAGTACATGGGGAATCAGTCCAGAGGTCATTGAAAGGGGAGCAAGTAAATTTGTAATCAATACATAAAAAGACAATCTAGTAGCGCGCGTTCTTGAGCAGATTCTCGATGCATTTCTGGATATTCACCCAGGAGCTGAACTTGCTCTGACAGAAGTCCATCGTCTGCCTGCGCTCAAACTTGCACCCATGCCATCAGAACTGGCTCACTCGCCCAACCTCTGCCGCACTTTGTTCCCCTCCCCTCCTGCCCTTGGCCCTTCTGTCCTCCCATCGCCTTCCCCCACCTCTCGTATCCCTTGCCCTTCCCTCCCAACACCTCCCGGCCCCCTCCTGTCACCGCCCCCACCCCTCCCCTCGCTTGCCCTCCCAAGCTCACCTCGACTTTCTGAACATCTTCTATGGTCGGGTGCCGATGCCCTGAGGAGGTGACTTCGATCTGCTGCTGCCCTCCCGCGCTGCTCGCTGTGGCCTCGGCGAGCGCCGGATACTTGGGAGCCACTTGGAGGGGCACGTTCCTCACTTGAGGCATCGCAGCTGACTGGTAGGCCGACAGCAGCTGCTGGGAGTTCGGGATATTCGGGATGTTGCTGCTGGGCCACTGCTGAAAAGAGGCAGCACGAGCTTGAAGCGCCTGAGGGAAGGAAGAGATGGGAATGAGAGACGAGAGGTAGAAAGTAGAAGATAGAAGATGAAAGATAGAAGATGAAAGATAGAAGGTAGAAGGTAGAAGATAGAAGTTTACGATACCTGTGGATGCTGCTGATGTGAGACGCGCATAACGACAGCAATCAACCCTAGCAAACCCAAAGCTCCGACAACAAATCTCCTGAGTTGCTCGTTGCGATCGACATCGCTCGGCCTGTTGGAAAGGACCATTTCATTTGCTCCTCGTCTTCTCTTGTCCTCATATTCTCATCCTCTTCTTTCTCTCTGCTGGCACTGGCCGATGTTCAAGTGGGAAGGTGTGGGTTGTCGCAGAATTACAATACAATCTATCTCTATTGCTTTGAATTCACTGTGAGCCCGCGAGCCCGCAACGCGACTAGCTGATGAAACATTGAAGACCCTCCACTGTACCTGCTCTAGCTGATGAAACATTGAAGACCCTCCACTGTACCTGCTCTAGCTGATGAAACATTGAAGACCCTCCACTGTACCTGCTCTAGCTGATGAAACATTGAAGACCCTCCACTGTACCTGCTCTAGCTGATGAAACATTGAAGACCCTCCACTGTACCTGCTGCTTGTTGATCCTAATTCTCAACGCATTTCTCCTCCTCCTCCCCTCCTGCTCTACTATCACAATTTCCTCGTCCTCCTCCTCCTCCTCCTCCTCCTCCTCCTCTTCCTCTCGCTCTCCCCTTCTCCCTCCCCTTCTCCCTCTCCTTCTCCTTCCCCTCCTCCTCCTCCTCCTCTCGCTCCCCCCTTCTACTCCTGCTCCTGAGGCTCCTACGTTTCATGATGCTGCTCCTCCCAGTCTGCCTCCTCCTCCTCCTCCTCCTCCTTCTCCTGTCGCCCGAGTCTCTCATGGTCTCACCTGTGCGGTCTGACCCTCTCCATTGCCCTGGAACCCCGAAATAGACCAGCGGGCCTCCCCCCGGCCATTTGCTCACACTGAGTAGCCCCCGGGCCCCGGGCCCGGACTGAGTCACTGAGTCGTCGGATCAGGCTGATCGGACCCACGGACTCGAAGTGACTGACTTGGGCCGCCCGTCACCTCACGGGGTTCCGACAAGGTGACGACGAGGCTGCCAGGCTGTCCGATCAAGTTTGCTTCCGACAGTTTAATCTTCATTCAATAGAAACCTTCGCACCTCCTCCTACACCTCCTGCTCCTCCTGCTCCTCATTGTTTTCCTTCAGCTCTTCTTCAACACTCGATACTATTCCCAGCCTCCAGTCCATGGACAACCCCGGAGAGATGAATAAGACAGCCCTGAACAAACGTTAGCTCCATTCCTGCTCCTTCCAACCCTTCTTGCCCTCCCCTCCCTTCCGCCCCCCCTCGCTCTCCTTCCCTCCGTCCTTCACGCAAGACTGCTTACCTTGGGACGGTGGTAAGTTGAAGCCTTGGGCTCCTGCTTGACAGCAGCATGCTGCACAACCTGAGAGCTTATGAGAAACAAGGATAGACAGGAGAAGAGAGAGGAAGGGGTAGCAGAAGAGAGGGAGGAGAAGGAGGGAGCAGATCGAGGAGGGGGTAGCAGAAGGAGCAAGAACGGGGCATGGGGGAGGGCAGGGAGGTACAGTCGTGAGTGCTCCTACCGAGTGAGGCTTCTCAGCATCGCGCTTGCTTCCATTGTATGACGCTCGACGGGGAGAGGAAGGATGAACAGCAGCAGCAGCAGCAGACGCTGCTCGAGCTGTGGCAGGTGGATGAGGCTGATGATCAGGTTGAGAGGGAGGAGGAGCAGCGGCCGTGTCCTTCAACGAAGTCGCTTCCTCCACCTGCTGGACGTTTGAGGGTATAGGGGGAGAGGCAGCAGCAAGCACCTGCATGCCGGAGACGGAGAACTTTCCTGCTCCGTGCGGGAACAGCTTCAAGAGGATCTGCCAGGCAAGTGAGGAGTGACGAGGAGCAGCAGCTTGGTTCATCAGGAATCTGATGCAGAAAGAGGGAGGAAAGAGAAACAGACGAGGGAGGGAGGGAGGAAGAGAGGAGAGAGAAACAGACGAGGAAGGGAGGGAGGAAGGGAGGAGGATAGAGGGTTTAGGGTGTCGTATTTGACGGTGTCGGTTCACCTCGCTTGGTTTGCCTCCTTGCTGTATCTTGTCGATCTTGCGCTCCAGCGATTGAGTTGAGTTGAGCTAGCTGAACATCAGCTGGAGCAGAGCAGGACAGTTACAGCTGACCAGATGCTGCTGGAGTTGGTCGACGCTGAGCCGAACGCGCGAGAGGTCCTTCTGCGATGTTTAAGTCAAGCATGAACAAGCTCCTCTTCCTGCTACAGCCTCCATGTCCAGCTATGTTGGCTCACTACCCTCCTCCTCTTATCTTCGTATCCTGACCCTCCTCTCCTTGCCCACACAAGGTTGTTTCCGAGCATTGTCGGCAGTAAGACATTTCCTTCTCTGCCTTCACTCGTTTATACGTCCCACTCACCTCTGCTGAGTTGAAAACTTTCTTGACCCGTGAGGACAAGAGGCTGATCGTTTGCTGCATTGCAACGTAAAGAGTTGTCGACGTGTCAGTAGCCATTGCTGTCTTCTCACCTTCTTGTTGTTCTTTTCTTCCTCTTTGAGATTGCTGCTTGTTGACTTCAGCTGGGCTTGGAGCTACCAGAACAAACAATCTCCTCAGTCTCAGAGCCAAACACTTGGGAAGAGGAGGAAAGTAGCAGGAGAGAGAAGGCAGGACGAGGAGAGGAGGAAGGAAGGCAGAGGAGGAGAGGGAGAGGGGAGAAAGGCAAACCTGAGCAAGTTTGCCTCTGAGCGCCTCCACGCTCCTGTCGATGGTGGCGATGGCATGATTGTTGAGGTCCTGGAAGGACTTTCAGGGTTGGGAGCAGCAGCATCAAGGTCTGACCAGGCTCGTCGTCGATTGTTTCTCCTCCTCCTTGAGCTTGGAGGACTTGGTCTCGAAGAAGTTCAGATCCTCCCCTACGATCTTCAGCTTCCCGGCGAAAGATTTCTACCACCAACATGATTAGGAGATGCCTGCTTTCCATTCTCCACTCCCATCTCTTCCACTCCTCATCCCCTTGCGCTCCTTGCCCCACCTCGTTCTGGCCCTCTTCTCCACTATCTCCTTCCCTCTCCTCATCCCCCGCTCCCCCTCACCTGCTTCTGCTCCAGCATCGAAGATTTCTTCTGCAGACGGTCGACCACCTGCATCCTCATCAACCATCCCAACGACCAACCTCGCAGGCCCTACCGCAGGAAGGTTTTGCTCCTGCACATCCCTCGCGCTGACAGCTTTGAGAGCCTAGCGGAGTCAACACAAACAGGTTACACCTCTTTCATCCTCCTCGCTACCTCCTCTTCCTCTGCGTCCCCTTCCCCCTCCACTCTCCCCATCCTCTTCCTTTCTTGTGGCTTCACCTGCTCCATTTGTGCCTGCAGCTCCTTATCCTTGGTGCAGTAATCCTTGCCCTTAGAATACGAGCCCTGTCCTTCTCTGTCAGCCTCCTCCTCCTCCTCCTCCTCCTCCTCTAACCAGATCAGGCGTGAGGCTTGACGGAGCATAACATCTCCACTTGAACGTGCTGTCGTCACTGCCAGCAGCGAACCTGCAGCAACGTATCAGGCTCCTCGTCCTCTTTCCCTTCCGTCTCCTCCCAATCTTCCTCATCATCTTTCCTTCCCCCTCTCCTTCGCTCCGCGGGATCAAACGCCTCATCCACTCCCGTCAGACCTGGCCAGCAGCTTCACGTCCTTTTCTGTCTTGATCTCACACTTGGACTCTGCGTGCTTGTCAGCATCCTCCTCCTCCTCCTCCTCCTCCTCCTCCTCCTTACCCGTATTGCACCAGCCGTCAAGCTTCTCCTGTACTCCGAGCCCTGTAAGGATCAGCAGCATTTCTTTGCTTGCTGCTGATCCCTCGGTTGCCGAAAGCTCCGCAGCTCCGTCGCTCTTCTTGATCATCCACTTCCTCTCCCGGTCCTTGATGCCCGCCATCTCCTCTCCCAAGAGCTTCTCCTTGGCCTCCATCCTTTCAACCTCCGTCAGCACGTGCGAGTGCTGCTTGTCGTCGAGGCTCTCCTGCCCGTTGATGATGTTCCTGATGTTGTTCTCCCCTGATATAACCGTGTTGAGCTCCTTCGAAGCGTCCATGATCCTTCCTTCCACCTCCTTCTGAGTGCTTTGAATCAGGTTTTGGACCTCCTTCTTCGTGTACCCTTGTGCCCGCACAGTGTCGAGCTCCTGCTTCAGCGAGTCGTGCTGTCTACTCACTTTCTCGTCCATGGCAGTGATCGCCCTGAACAGTCTCGCCACCATGTCCCTCAGCTTCCGCTTCCCCCATTCCTCGCTGTTCCTCACCTCGTCATCGATCCTCCTCCTCACCCCCTCGTTGGACTCCGAGGATCTCTTTGCCAACTCAAGGTCCCGAGCGATCTTGGGCGACAGGAAGAGAATGACAGAGGAGAGCGCAGAAGGACGGGAGTCAGTCTTAGAGGACACGTGGAACGAGAGAACAAGAGCAACAAGGGCTACTGCTAGCACGCAGACGCTTCGTGATCGCATGCTAGAAAACCATTGTGTGCTGGCAGCTGTCGAAGAAAGCTGTATATCGTGTTCATGACCATCTTCACGCTGAGACGATACGGCAATACAGCTTGCAGTATCGTCATAGACCTGCCGTTCTTCACCAGAGCTCGTGCTTGAATTGTTGTGCATATTCATCAACAAGCCCCAGTCAAAGCCTTCTGCTCCCTGATGTGTGTTGGTCAAGATATTCAGCTCGTTCTGAGCTTCTTCCCTCCTTGTCCTCTCTCCTCTCCTCGTTAACCACTACAATCGCCCCTCCTCCTACCCTCCTATTTGGAATGGCGCCATGGAGCTATTTTCGGACGACCGTTGAGAACGTTACAAAATGTTTTATTCATCACCTTCAGGAACGACAACGGACCAAGGTAGGAAGGACGCTCGATGGTTGAACAAGTGAGAGGGCGGAACGAGGGACGGCGATGAAGGATGAAGGGGTATGGAAGAACATGGAGGGTTCGAGTCAGACAGATGCAGAAGAAGGGAAGAGAAAGAGGGGGAGGAGGAAGGGAGAGGAGGGAGCGGGAGAGGAGGGAGAGGTAGAGCAGGTAGAGGAAAAGAAAAAGCCGAGAAGGAGTCGGCAAGCAGGAGGCGAGGGAAAGGTTCTGGGACAGAGTGAGAAGAAGCCAAAGAAGCAACACATTTGCGAGCACGGCAAACAAAAGTACAGGTGCAGACAATGTCATTTGATAAAACCAAAGAGCTCCATCACATACTGCGAGCACGACCGCGAGAGGAGGAGGTGCAAATTGTGCGGGGGCAAGGCCATCTGTGAGCATCAGAGACAGAGGACCAGCTGCAGGCAGTGCAAAGGATCCTCGATATGTGAGCACGACAGGAGGAGGAGCAGATGCAGAGAATGCAGGGGCTCGTCCATATGCGAGCACTCGAGGCTGAGGATAACGTGCAAGGAGTGCGGAGGGTCGTCGATCTGCATGCACAACACGTTCAAGTCGACATGCGCGATGTGCGGAGGGAGACATATCTGCCTGCACAAGGTGTACTGGAGGAACTGTAAGATTTGCAGATCCACTTGGAAGCAAAAGGAGTGCGGCGAGGGGGGGGAAGGCAGCGACGGTGAAGGATCCACCGCTCTAGCCGGTCCTCCACAAGCTGAAGCGCCGATAATGAGACGGAAGAAGATCGTCAAGACGATGACGGTGAAGAAGATAGAACAGGATGCACAGCTACATAGCGACCCCTGATCTCCTTCCCACACCCAGATTCAACCCGTTTCTCGGCTCATGCAGATTTCGATGCATGCTACACTCATAGCTCTTTCTAGTCTGATTGTAGAGTGAAGGTTTTGTTCAGTGGTATTATTACTTCTGTTGTTCCCCACGAGCCTCTTGCGAGGTGTTCGTGGGCGAAACATGCTTTCATTATATTTCTACAAAACAACAATACTTGAGAACAAGTTTGTACAATGCAGACTTCGTCGAGGTCTGCTCCTCTTGCAGTCTCATTTACATCCAAAGATCCATTCAGCTTGTCAAGTTGAGGGCAGACTTTGTTGATATCAAAGTCCTTGATCTGGTCAAACACCATCAGGAGCCAGCATACAGAATGAGCTGCTTTCACCTGCAAGCTCATCCGCAAAGTTGTCCTCGTCTTCGGCCCCCTGGGTAGAACAAAAAGTCATAACAGGCCTCATCACTCACATTCTGCCTCACAGGATCGAAGAAGCCTGGGTCCGATCCCTCGTTAGACGACGCCCCGTTGTTGCTGCACATGTTCGTGAGTACGCATGATTGCACGAGATGTGGGCACACCTGTCCCCTCTGTCGGAAGAGCTCCCCTGTTCGTTCCTAGGGTCAGAACAAGTGAAAGCAATGGCAGAAGCCTCACCACGTTGCTGTGCCCGTTGCTGTTGCTCGATCTAGCCGAGCCGTTCCCGTTGGTCGTATCGGACGACTGCTTGCCCTGCGACCCATTGCCGTTGGAAGTGCCATCAGAGCTCCCAACAGAGCCACTGCAACGAAAGAGTGAGCGGAGGGTCTATGAGGAAAAATTTTGTCTTTACCTACTGTCCATGGACCCAGGGGAACCAGGACCCTGTCCAACAGTTAGCTTCGAGCAAGCAGGAAGTTGGTATCAAAACCTTTCGAGTGGCTTTGAATGGTCTTTCCACTTGCATGTGATTAGGAATACTGACTTCTTCATTCCCATCCAACTCAATCTGTACATGTGGCTGTTTCATAAGAGTCAAACAACGCATTTAACGGAGTATCGTGAAATATCACCTTGCTTTGTGATCGTTGCTTGGAAATCGTACTTCCCTGCACCAAATCATCACACCAGTAGCATGCATCATGCCCTTCTTACCTGTTTACTGTTTGTTGCTGCAACGAAAGCCGCGGCAGCAGCAGCAGAAGTTCCTGCCTCACCTATGTAAATCGTCAATTTCATAACAACCACAATCATTTTGCGAACCAGCCGCAGCTGCAGCAGCCGCTGCCGCCTCCATAGATGTGTTCGCCTGATCTTCAGTAACCTCCGACGGGTCTGTGTGTCCCCCGTCAGCTTTTTCCCTCTGAAAAATGAGCCAAGACCTTGGTCAGGATTCGAGTTGTCCAGACTGTTCGATTCTTGTTTGCTCGAGCGAGCAAGCCTCATGAAGTACTTTTGAGCGTGAGTCCGAACCTGATTACAAATATAAGGCTTGGTCCTTCCATCTCCCAGTAGGCAGGGTACCTGCGTTGCGCTCCTTGTGCCCACAACCTGCGAAATAGCCTTCACGTCTTTGTGCCTGCACTCCCTTCGTCAGCCGTCATAATCAGATGCCAAACAATCATTACCCAAATTTCTGAATAGCATCAAGAAATCTTTGATGCTCCTCGTCTGTCCAGTATCGACTCTGAGACTTGCAATTCGCATCTTTCTTGTCCTGCTGGAGAAGCTCGTAGTTCTCACACACTTGCTTCAGCCTGTTGACCTCAAGCGAGGCAACGTGCAACTGATGCTTCAGAAGCAAATTCTCTCTTGCAAGTTCCATCAAAGCATCTTGGTGGGCACCAGCAGGTACATTGATTCCTTCAATAGCCTCTCTCGGTCGCTTGCCATTCGGCAGCATGTGATACCCCATCGGGCCTGCCCCCTGCATTGCGCTTTCCGAAGGGAGCGCTGCTGCCGCTGCTGCATCGAAATGGCCAAAGCCCCCGGGGTAATAATATGGAATGCCATGTGGGTTGGGAGGAGCTTTGAACGGACCTAGATCATATCCCGGCTGATGAGCCACTGAAGCCATCGATGCCATAGCTGCAGAATGAGGGGTGTTGAGTTGCGCCGGAACAGCCGGAAACTCATGCTCAGGAATCTTTGATCTGCTCACTGGATGAGGAGGTTTTAGAGATGCCTGGACGCCATCCAACTGGCCACCAACATCCCCAAACCGAGAAGCCCTATGCGCGTGGTTAGAAGCAATGTGATTAGCTGCTGCAGCATCAGGCATAATGCCGATGCCTACATGCCATCCGCTCTCCATCTAGACTAAAGAGTATTTGTGAGATGTTCCTGCTGTATTGTCGGATGAAAGATTGTCTCAAGAAGGAGATTAGGGGATTTTGAATAAGTCTGGCTGAATCGCTTCAGCAAAACACATTCCAGTTGACCGCTGCTGTAAACCTGCGAGAATCATTCAGCCACAAGTCACCGTTTTCTCGGTAAACTATTCCTGACAACTCGAATTCTGTAATACTATCTAACAAGAACTATTTTTCAACCCGGCAACATCAACAGACTCTGTATACAAGGAAACCTTGCCAAATCAAAATAGGTTGTTCCTAGTTACAACTATGAGTCCAAACTCCCATGTTTCTCCATATCTCAATACCAGTACACTTCAACAAACTGATACGAAATAAAAAACCAACTCAATGTGAACACACTTGGTCTAATCTCTCCCTCTTTCCACGTCTTCCCCCACTCCAATGTCTCGCTTTCCATTGCCATCTTTTGCATCTTTCCCACCCTGTACCCTTACCCTTCGTCAACCACCCCCCCTCCCCCCCCCCACTCTCAAAAATCTTGTCGGCTCTCTTAAAAATATACCCCATTATTGCATTTCAATCTGCTGCATGACCCACAGAAAAGACCCACCATGACCCATTGATTGTACAGTACTAAATTTACTCTTTATTGAGTAAACTACAAAACTTTAGGTACAAATTTGAAATATTTTACACAACTCTGAATGCGCCCTCAGATTCCATTACTATTTATTGATTTCATGAGAAAAGTGACTGATATATTTGTACCAATTCAGAGCATTTGACGGGGTATAGGAGCCAATTTGGTGATATTGGAGATCACCCCACCTTCACAAAACCACCCCGTCGAAAGGCAATTGGGGACCAGCCAAGAAACGGGGGTGCCTGACAAGTTGGAAATAGATTGACGGGTAGCCGATGATGTATTTAGAAACTAAGGGGTGGGGGTGACTCACCAGGGGTGAAAAGGGGGCAGATTTCAGAAAAAGGGGGTAGGAATTTCAGGGGATCAGGTAGGGGTGGGGACAAAGTTGTGAAGTGACAAGAGAGGCGGTATGGAGGGAACATTCCCCAAACACATCAAGTCACCAGATGATAGGGGTCACAAGGAACGAATTCGGCAGAAGGCAGATAGAACCGCTGTGGGTTGAACATGTTCCTCTGGCTGTAGGGGTGGGTAGGCTTTCATGGAGTTTGTAAGTCGTACGGGTGGATGAGAAATGGTAGGGGTGCTCTAATCTGAATTGACAAAAGAACGGGTGTCTGTCCATACAGCAGGTGTAGAAAGCTGTCGGAGAGGGGGGTGGGGGTCAAGGATGACTGAAGGGTGGGTGGTCACGCGGGTCTGGCGACAGCCTTGAGTCTCGCGACCTAACAACTGTTTTAGAGAGCCGAAAAAGGAACGTTTCGAATCTTATTCTCAGAACTAAAACTAATATATACTTGGTACTACATTTATTGCTAGAACGTTTTGAAGCCCATTGTATAGTTTTAAACCAACTATATCTTTTTTTTTAAAAAAATCTATTAAATCCTTTTGATTCTAAAAGTATATTTAAGAATAAGAAAAGTATTTTAGTTGAGATTTGTCGCCCCCACATCCTTGTATGTCCCACTTATGACTCCTGCTGCGACCCCACCACCCGACCTATTGTACCCCATCACTTTACCATGTCAGTACCCGTTCGTGCAGAGGAAGCGACCTTTGTTTTTTGGTCGTAATGTTCCCTGTAGGGGTGGGGTCAAGGAAACCAAGATACGGTTTGTTTGGGTAGCAATGTTGAGGGGGGTCCTGGGAAAGTTACGGGTAGACTTCGAGATTCACATGGGGGTAGGGGTGGGGTTTTGTTACTTTGAAAGGGATTTCACGAGGTGGCCGAGTGGGTTGGTCGGGCGATCAGCTATGGACAACCCTGGTTGGCGATATTATACCGTACTTTTCGTGAACAATTTATCTACAACCCTCACAAAGTTCGTCAAATCCTTGAGAAAACTGATCAAAAGGGGCGGAATACGAACTTTTGATAGCATGTGGGTGCGGCCATTCGACGGAAATAAATCTGAACCTTTGCGAGATCGATGCTGACAGATCTCGATTTTAGATGTTCTCAAACTTGATCCTTTTCGCTAATTGAATGTACCTTGAAAAGTTTCAATTCTACAATGGTTCGATATACGACCCACTGAATTCCGACGGGATACCCAATCTCGCTTGAGATTTCATTATAGTGATAACTCCGGTACAAATCTCCCTTGAAACATTGTGATCTATGCTCACGAGATCTCCTGAGCGGTACTGAGGGATTTTGAAGGGTTCACCGTTGGAGGTAGGGTCCGTATTGTAGTATTCGCAGTGGGTAGGGGGTCATTTGAAATGTATTTTGAGTAGGTAGGGTGGGGTAAGTAGAATACCTGCAAAGGGTAGGGGCAAGTTTTCTCACTCCTAGGACCCATAAGCAAACAACTACCACCCTACTCCTCTGGAAATAGAGATTTTGTCCGTACCCCCACCCCACCTTTTTGTATGTTCCAGGCCGCACCGGCCGGCCCGTGGTGACTCGAGGCAGCACTCACGGTTTGGAATGTGTGAACCGACGGAAGCTGGGAGACCGGAGGCCGGAATGTGCATCGGAGGACCATGAGGGTTGAGGCCCAGGAAAGATGAGGGGGGGGCTGCAATCGAGAGTACATGGTGCAGGAAGCCAGTCAGCGGAGTTGACGTCATGCAAGTAGCACGGGTGTGAAGGTCTGAACGACCCCTGGGGATGGTTCTTTGTAAGTGAAGAGATTAGGAAGGGAGGGTCTGATTCTGAGCAACGAGTCGATGAGAGGGGCTCCACTGAGATCAGATCTGCGAGCAGACAGGATGGCGGGACCCGACGATAGCTCACAATGTTTGTCAGGAAAGGAGATGTCAACACCCAGCCATGAAGACCTTCTTGCCGCTGTGAGGAAGGTGAGGCGTTGGGACTACCTGCCTTCATGCGCTCATGTATCGAAGCTGAAGGAAGAGCACCCGGACTTCGGCATCGCGCGGATACGCAACACCTTGAAGGAAGAGAGGGGGTGGGAGCTCTCGGAGAAGCGAGTCAAGAAGGTGAATGACCAGCATTCAGCTTTCAGACTGATCAAAGTGGTGTCCTACAGGCCATGGCAGACCTGCAGCAGGACCCTTGTTCGTCTGCACATGTTGCGTCGGGTGAGAACGCCCCGGGGGAGGAATCTGCAGTTTCAGAAGCCCCCGCAAAGCTCTTTGCAAACTGCGTGGTAGAAGAACCGAGCGCAAGGTCCTATGCCAGTGTGACGCTCTTGGAGAACGTTGGCCAAGTCGAGGGGTCAAAGGCTGCCATGTTTGGGGGAGAGCACTATGACGGCAAGAAGAACCTCTTCTACAACCAGCTGTACCTCTACGACCTCCTCCTCAACTCTTGGTCAAGGCAGAACTTCCCGGAGGGCAACACCCCGAGTGCGAGGTCGGCTCATCAAGCTTGCATCTGCAGAGACTCTCTCTTCGTCTTCGGGGGTGAGAGCTCGTCGCCCAACGGCTCCAAGTTCAAGTTGTACAACGACCTTTGGAGGTTGGACCTCTCAGCCCATTCGACGGGGAAATGGCAGAAAATCTCGGAGGACAAGGATGCGCCTGGGCCGCGGAGCGGGGCGAGAATGACAGCGATCGAGGGGAAGATCTTCATCTATGGTGGGATGGGCGACGACAAGTACTTTCAAGATCTCCATGTACTCCAACATTGTCTCCTCCTGCTCTTGATCTGCTGCTGCTGACCATAACTTTCAAGGTGTTCGACGTGGACCAGAAAAAGTGGATCAGTCGAACCGTTCAGATCCTGCAGAAGAAGAACAACAGCCCGACTCCTGGTCCTCGCAGGTGAGAGTGAGGTCCCGGTGGTCAATCAGTCACTGATGTCCAACTCCAGCGGGTATGTGATGTGGAACGACAAGGAAGACGTGATGATGCTATGAGGGAGAGAGGAAGCATCTTACATCCATCAGGGAATCTTCATTTACGGAGGGACGAGAGCTCGGGGGAGGAACGATACAGGTGGCCCGAGAGCAATCGATCCTCCCTCGTCCTCTCCTCGCTGATCTTACGGGCAGAAACTCTCGAAGACCTTTGGAGACTCGACGCCTCTAGTTACACTTGGGAGCGCGTGACGGATGCCAAAGGACAGCATCCGGGTCAGAGGAGGTGGTGCCTTGCCACGTTGGTTGTTCAGTGCTGAGTCTGCCCACAGTGGGCTTGCCGTGACTCTGGTGGGAGAGGCGAAGAGAGACGCCGTGCTGTTTGGAGGCGTTTCCGATCAAGTCGCCCCGCAAGGTCAAGAGGGTTGTGGCCGCGCCCATGACTGGCTGAGTGATGAGCAGGTTCCAAGCCGACCTCTTCCTTCCATGCCGACTTCTTCTGCTTCAACATGGACGCGAGGCAATGGAGCATCCCGAAGGCCGAGAGAACGTCCCAAGGAAACCCTGCTGAGGAGCCGAAGCCAATGGGAAGGAGAAACGCCCAGGTTTGAAATACCCTTGGTCTTCTCATCTTGGGTCATCCTTGCGTAGATTGTGCATTCGAAATTGGGGCAAATCTTTATGTTCGGAGGCGTTCGAGAGGAGAAGTCAGAGAACAACAAAGAGAAGGTGAGCGAGCCCAGACATCTTCTTGGCTCACTTGCAAGCAGGAGGTGACGCTTGACGATGTTTGGTCCATCCCGGTCGGGTTGAGTAGCGAAGAGAAAGATAGACTTGCTTTGGGTTCATGGAAGCGTCTGCAGCGTGGAAACTTCTCCTCCGACGCTTGGCATGATTCCGATTCGGAAGCTGATTCAGACAGCGACAATGAGAACTGAGAACTTTGAATTTTGCTTGGTTGGAGCAGCATTCCAGTCAGCCACTAAAGTTTATTTCGCTCTAGCTCTTGATGAATCCAAACAAGAGTCTGGAACCCGAGAAAAGCCCAAAGCATACAATGTCGTCTACTCTTGCATATCTACCAATGCCGAACACTCCAGCTTAATCCCTTCTTGCTGATGGAGTGCAATCAGTGCAAGATATCACAAGGACCCAAATTAACCTCTTTCTCATTCACAAGGCTGTCTAGCTCATCCAAACGACGTTCGATCATGTCTCGCATGTGTGGTCCAGTCATGAAACAGATTTCAGCTGTGTGCGCTGAGACTCTAAGCAGAAGCATTTCGGCTTGTTCGTTCGCTTCATCGATCGATGCGTGCAATTCCTTCAAGGAATTCTCTGACTTTGAAGTTGATACCAACATTTCTTCGATTTTCTTATCCCAGCTTTCAGCACTAGATAATGCAGTTGAATGAAAACATAAGAAACCAGTTTGATCATTACCTCTCAGAACAGTCTTCGCATTCATCCATTGTCGAATCTTGATCCTTCAGCTTTGGTGCTGATTTAGATTGGCTAATAAGATAATTTTTGGAGACGTCTTCTCGATCTTCAGAGCTTTTGAAAGCAAATTCAGTCATCAGATCCTCTTTTGCATTCTGATTGCTGGTCTGAAGACGATGTCAATTTTCTATTTTTCGAGGAAGGAATAAAGAATAAATAAATCAGGAATAAATCATTACTTTGGGAGCTGCGAGATTGAGCTTCAGTAAACATGAAAAGTCTTGTGATACAGAAGGGCCAGGGCATGGAAGCTCTGGAATCGGATCGGCACTATTTTCCTCGATGGTTTCTAGACTATTTTCTGACATATTGATCTCAGATCTGTTACCACCATCATCATCTACTCCAGAAGAAGTGTCCAACAGAGTCCTCTTTATATGGCTCTGTTGCGTTTTTCCAGGATTGCCAGGATATCTGGGAGGCTTCTCGGAGACAGGGATTGGTGAATTGAATATGTTTGAATGCAGATTGGATGGATTGCTGCAAACTGATTTTTGCTGGAGCGAAGCGAACGAAAAATCGAGCTGCTTTTCGTCCCCTTCCTTCTTTGGACTGCTAGAATTGAATATGCGATCAGGAGCTAGTGAAAAGTTCATTGGATTGATTGAGTTTGCATCTTTAGATTCCGTTTGCTCATTGCTCTGTGCGAATAGATTGAACGAGCGCTGACTTGTCTCTTCATCACACTTCCCCGAAACAGCAGCAAAAGATCCGAAAGAAAGCATTTCGGGATGTAAAGATTCAAGAGAGAAAGGATAAACACAGTGAAAGTCTGAATACTCAAGTGATATGAAATCTCGCACTGATGTACGACTAGCCTTCAGTCTCACAAGCTCATCATGCGCATCTTCTTCCTCATGAATTCCCGGCTATGGCCATGGTCAACTGATGCCGAGCCACAAACTTTTTTTGGCGGGGAAATGGTGCAGGGGGTGGTAGGATACTTATAAGGATAGTAGTAAAGGGGGGTAGGTGGGGGAGGAGGTTCATGTACATACATCATGCTTGCTATTGACAGTTTGACATCTAGAAATGAATCTCAAGTTGGTCTGAAACGTGACCGTAACTATGGCAGATAAACAATAACATGAGCGCAGGAGCATCACATTCCGAGCAATGAGACATTCGAGTCCTGGTGAGGTTTGCGATGCTTAAGCTCGATCTTCGCCCTGTTGCAAGGAGCTTCTTCGTCTCTCAAGCTCGCAGACGAAGTTATGCAGGGAAGACCTCCGCGAGTGCTGCTTGTTGCGCAGCATGGTCTCCTGATACTGCCTGACGTCCCTTGAGGTTATCAGCGACATCATGTCATTTGATCTCGCTCGAATCCTCTGGACGACTGGCCCTGGTGCTCCAACATCGCGAGAAGATGCCGGAGGTATGACGATGCCTGCATGTTCGGATCAAACGCCGCCTGTTAGCATGGCAACAGAGCAGAACCTTTCTGTGCCATCGGCATAAACCTTTGGTGCTTGATGCTTGTGGCTTCCTTTAGTTTCAGAAACGCTTCGTTGCTATAGTTGGAATCAGTTGGAATCTCGACTCTACAGACAGAGGTGAGTCGAAAAAATTATCAGAGGCTTTCCAACATTTTTCCTCTTCCGGTGTAAACCAGGAACTTGTCATCGAGTTTCTGAAGGCTTGGTTGCCTCTTGTTGAAACGATCTGCCTCTCTTGTACATGGTTCGCTGGATACTTTGTCTTCTTCTTGCTCCAACTTCTTCTCAAGACTAATCTGCTTCTGTACATGACGAAAGATAGCCTCGCGTCGATACTTGTGGGCCATATCAGCATATCTCATCTCAAGTGTTACATCCCTGAGCATCTAAAATTACAGCTTGCACTCAGAAATCAAAGTTGAATAACCTCCCAGCAGAATTTCGTGGTGAGTGCAGACGATCCCTTACTTGTGAACGCTGCGCTATGAAAGGAAACAAGTGATTGCGCTTCAGAGACTGGAATTGAAAGATCCTTGGGCTAGAGGGGTTCTTGGAGTTGTACGCCCTCTTCTCTTCCTGCAGAGACTTGGCTTTGGATGCTGCGCTTGTGCGAAGATCAATGGAGGGCAGGCCAATCGAACAGCTGCCCAACGCCAAGGAGGTTCGATGGGGAGAAGAAGACTTGTGCTCTTCAGAATGACCTTGCTCCTCTGGATGTACTGCTGCACGCACAAACCTGTCTTCTGCAGCCTCCAAATCTTCTGTCTGCTGTATGGGAGGGTAACTTCTGGGTTCGGTCGTTGAAGGCAAGATGCTTACATGCGGTCGATTCGGAATCTCGGGATCAATGTTTGGATCAGCCTGCGTATCCGAATCTAATGGAAAATGCAGGATCAGAAGAAATCAAATCGATCAGCAAGTAGTTGCCTTCTTCGACCTCCACACTGTTAGTATCTATCTTTTCAACGCTCGATGTGTTTCTAGCTCCCCCAGGCGGTTTCACTGCATTGCGGGAGAGATCAAAGCAATGTCAATGACAAGCCACGACAAATGATCGAAGCAAGAGACAACAAGAGGGTGGTCAACCAGGGTGATCAGTCTTTCTCTTCTCCTTCTCTGTCTCCCTGGGCGAATCCACCTTCTGAACTTCGGCCGATTGCCCTCTGCTCCCAACGTCAAGAAGGCTTGAGAGAAAACACAGCATTACAGGTCTCCGTATGCTAAATGTGAGGCTTCCAGGCATCGCAAGAAAAGCTCTTGGCGCTCGGCATTCAGAGAAGGAAAGATCCTCCTGTTGTGCAACGTTGAGTCCGGGAAAGACACGACACGCAACTTACTCATAGTGCACACATTGTGAAGCCTCGTGCTCTGTTCTCTCGGCGATGATTTGTTCCTTGAGCCGCTTGTACGTATCATCGCTGCTCCCTTTCAGGACTGTCGAGGGCAACCTTTTCAACTCCTTGAACAAGGAGATCTCGGTCTTCGACGGGCAGATGATTTTCAACGCCTCAAGAACAACCTGATGAGAAGAGAAAGCCTTGAGGGTCGAAAAGCAAAGAAAGTATCGAGGTCTTACCGTCTCCTTCACCGATTGATCGAGGTCCGAGCTGGCCTCAAACGACGGGAGTTCGTTGACTTCAATCAGCCATGGTCTCGCCTGATAGTCCAGCAGCACATCGACTCCCAAGATCGTGAAGCACGAGGAGCCGAAAGAGTCCCGAGACTCCGGGAAAGTGCATTTGTACGATCTCTGGTTGGCTGGTACCCCTGCTATCACTGTTTTGGCGACAATCTGAACTATCTCATCCCAAGTCTTCTCACTGGAGAACCCGTTCTCGTCCAGCCACCGCAGAATGCTGGAGAGCGATCGTTTGCTTCCTTTCTCCCCACTGCCGCTGTGCATCCCCTCAACAGAGGGCATGGAGGGCATTTCAAAGCGCTCGCTGTATCGGTTGATTGAGAAGTTGGTGAGATGCCGATACTGATCTTTGTAGTTCTTTCTTGATATGCTTTCATATTTCTCTGTGCAGAACCGCGCAAGGCCTTCTCTCATCAGGTACAAGCGGAGCGGGCAGACGGATGTGACCAGTACGTACAATCGAAGATCAAACTTGAGACCCTCGATGAGCAGGGGGCGATTCATGTACTTCTGTGCCACGTACTTCCCCTCCTTGGGAATGTCAGAAGCTTTTCTGGCGAAGAAGATCCCATTTCCTTGACTGCCACAGTTGGGCTTGATGATGTAAGTCCTGTTCTTCTTCGTTGTCGTCAACCTTGAGAAAGTCATGAAGTCATCTGGAAGGACGTAGGTCTCGGGGAAGAAATTGTAATCCCCAGGAATGCGTTTCTTGATGCGGTTGAGGTTGTGGGCTAGCTTGCACTTGAAGGCGATCTCAAACATGGACGGGAAGTGATTGATGCGCTGGGGCCTGTACATCCTGAACTCCTTGATGGTCTTCTCAAATAGATACCGGTCTATCCACCTGATCGTCCACTTCACTTCATTGTCTGTCAGCTTCCACCCCAAAGCTTCGCACACATCCCTGACGAGCGCATAGTCACACCCCACCAGATTCACCATGATCCGATGCTTCTTCTTGACGGGAAGCGCCTCCTCCTCCTCCTCCTCAACGACACTGGGACGGACTTCCCCTCCCAACATCATTGTTGACTACTTCACGGGGTTAGACTTGCTCCCGCAGAATGCCGACGACGGTCAGTCTCAGTCAGGCGTCTTGCTTATGTGATTGCCATGCCCGACGACTTTGTCACGGCCCGCTGAGTGGTCGCCGAGAGCGTTGACTTGTCCACGTCCCTGAACTTGTTCGCATTCGCCTTCCCCCGCATCGCAAGCATCCGCCACGTTATCCACACATGTTTCTCCTCTTCCTGTTGATGCCTGGTTGTGCTATGGTCGTGTAGCTCCTCTGCTCTGCTTTCCTCTCTCCCTCTCTCCCTCTCTCCCTCTCTCGCCCTCTCCTTGCTCTGCCTCCATATCCCCCGTAGCTGTGGGCCAACCGTCGAGTCCGCCTCCACGTGGATGACAAATTCCCCACTAAGGCAGGACTATTTATGTATAATAGCTACTCTCTGTCTTCTTGTAGTCAATATTGTTTTATTGAGGTGAACTCGCTTTACGATCATCTACTCTCTTTTTAGAGGCTTCGATGAAAAGCCTTGGAGCCTTAAACATTATATCTATAAGTATACGTGGCTATCTATCAATCATACCCTGTTATCTATCAGTCATACAAGTCACCATCCCTCTCAGTAACAAACGACCAACGGTAGCGCCCGACCGCCCTGGCACCTCATGGCGATGATGGCGACCGAGGGCGATGAAGGGCGAGCGCGAAGACTGAGAGCTGCTGAGAGTCAGTGAGTGCTACCGTACGGGGGGCCGCCTCTCCGTCTCGCGGCGGTAGCACTGCACCCTACGTTGGTCCGAGTCGGGCCCCTAACCCGGGGGCCGCAGCTACAGCCAGGCAGACCGCTGCATGGCGCAGCGGGGTGATAGCGGGAGGGTCAGCCTAGCATGCAGCAATTAGAGAGACTGTGAGACTCTTTTCAGCAGTAGCATAACAACTTGATTAGTCATCAAGTTAGGATCACAGTGAATCTGAGAAGATGCCGTGACAACGAGGTGAAGTTAGTGACGCTCTGTTCAGCAGGGGGAGAGCTGAGATGACCAACACGGTGCTTGCTAGGAGCTGAATCTCATCCATCAATGACGTGAACGTTTTTTGAGCATGAATGAGGTGAACATGCGATCGAACAAGGTAAAACCTGCTCTCCCTCCTTGACGCTGCTGGAATGTCGTGGGGCCACAAGGTGCAACATGACAGCAGCGGGGAGCCAAGGGGAAGAAAGAAGACATGAACAGGGACATGAAGAGAGACATGAAGAGAGACATGAAGAGAGACATGAAGAGAGACATGAAGAGAGACATGAACAGGGACATGAACAGGGACATGAAGAGAGACATGAAGAGACTGGTTTGATCGCCATCTCCTGCCTGTCTTAGATGCTGGAACAAGAAGGGAGGAGGGAGATGGAGGTGCGCATGCCCAGATTTTCATCTTTCTCCCAAGAATCTCTAGAGAGAGGCCAAGAGCTGCAGGAAGTTTCCTTGCAGCACCTCCTGCTGGACTCACCGGATGAAGGAAGGTCGGAGTGTTGGTGGCGACCGTCTGACTGTCCCCTTAGACTTCATCTGCTCGCTGCCATCACCCGAGGAGCAGAGCTCAGGGGCGCTGCCGAGGATGGAGAGGGAGACGTTTGCCTTCCTGAAGCAGGAGGAAGCTCAGCGAGGCCGTCAGCGACAGGAGCATGAAGACGCCGCCTCCTCGCATGCGACGCTCGACGACACCCTGCTGGAGCAGCTGCACGGGGAACGGTTCTCAACCACCAGACTCTACGTACGAGCTCCTGCTTGCTGTCCTGGTAGCTCGTGACTCTGCTCTAGAGCACCCTGTCCACCGCGAGCTGCTGGTGGAAGAACAAGCCCAAGTCCTCGCAGGTCCACAAACCGACGGAGCAGCTACAGCCAAGAAGACTCGCGGCCGAGGTCTCTCGGAGGGCCGGATGGACGTCAGGATACGTCTCCCGCGTGCTGCTTGACGAGAAGCCGGCGTTTGCAGGCAGCAGGAGGCAACGCCTCGGCCTCCACTCGAACTCGAACTTCGACCCGCAGTGCAGGTCCTTCTCTGTCATTCCCTTCCGCCTTCCTCCCCTTCTCCTCCTTGCTCCTCCCTGCCCCTGATTTCTCCTCCTTCCTCTCCTGCCCACCTGCTGTGCCCTTTGTTACTCTTTCTGTGCTCTTCCTCCTCCTTCTGCCCCTCGTTGTTCTCCTCTCCTCTCCTCGTCACCTTCACGTAATGCAGATTCACCTCGGGCACTCTCTACTCCGACTCCAGCATGATCCCCATCGGTAACTGCCCGGCACCTCCTGCCGCCGCTCAACTGCTGCACGCAGGACAGTACAAACTTCCCAGCGTCTTCGGCCCGACCGGCAGGACTCCAGCTGTCTTCTCTCGCTCCAAGACACCTCAGGCACAGCTTCTGCTCCCTCTGCTCGCGTCTGACATGCCAGGACAGAGAGCCATCCGCGTGCAGGACATGAGCATGAGTGCGCCTGCTGTGCTTGCGAGGATGTGCTCTCAGTCTGACGTGCCGCCAGTGTTCTTGGGGACTACTAAGACTGTGCGCAACCGCGTCGAGGAGGACGAGGGCGTGCGTGGTGAACTGGCGGCTGATCCGAAGCAAGCGAGAGGATTCGAGCAAAAGACGAGAAAGGTGGAGGAGGAGAGGGGCAGAGCGAGGCTGGTGACGTCTCATATGTGCTTGCAGAGGAGCATAAGGAGGAAGGGGGGGGAGAGAGGAATGTCTCCTGAAGACGGGGCAAAGTCACCTCTGCTCCCGACGTCCTGGACCATCTCAGACTCGAGCCGAAGTTTCCCCATCATCCCAACCAACCACATGTGAAGAGATCCTGTGAGTGCCTGTTGTTTTTTCCGCACTCAAGTCAAAGTTTTTGATACGAAGTCATCACTTTATTGACAGCCAAAGTGACGTAATATTACATAGCACACATCATATCTCTACAATATTGAAATGAACATGGAAAAAAAACAAAATCAGGCAAAGCATAGTTGCCCTTCACGCACACAGGCAGCTGCGAGGGCGTTTGGCCGCCAGGTCGGGCATGCCCATCCCTTCGAAGTGCCTCCTCTTGGTTGGAGCTGCAGACTTGGGTGAGAGATCACTGCTGTCTGACTCGCAGTCGCAGTCAGCAGCCGCCTTGTCCTCCCCACACTCTTCGGTATGGCAGGTGCACCTTCGACATCTCGCTGTGTGGGAAGGCATGGAGAACAGCAAGTGACCCCTGGAGGGAAGAGCAGGAACAATCTGCGGCCTGCACGCTCCCTCCTCCTGCTTGCCCTCAGAAGAGAGGAGGAGGGCATTGTCGATGGAATCAATCAGTTCGTCCACCTCGTCCATGAGGTAAGCGTGCTCAAGGAGCTCCTCTGCAGACAGCCTCTCCTCGGGATCCGGGCTCATGCAGTCCATGAGAAAGTCCACAAAGTCAAAGGAAACGCCGGTAGGAAGCATCGGAAGTTGAGACCCAACCCCAGCGAGGTCGTAATCATGCCCGAGCACCAAGTGAAGGGCAATGCACCCTACTCGCCAGATGTCGCCTGCTGCCGTCCAGTCTCCTCCTCCTGCGACTTCGGGAGGTACGACGTTAGAGGAGCATCTCGCTGATGGCTGATGGTCCGGCTGAGTTAAGTGAAGGTGCCCTGAGCGGTCATGCAAGAACTCGATCGCAATGCTGTCCAAATCAATCTTGCCGTGTACCTCCTTCCTCTCATGCAGCTCAGCGACCGCGATCAGGAGAGGCCTGAGGATCCATGTAGCTTCGGATGCATTCAGCGGAGTCCGCTGGCTCAAGATCTTCCTGAGGGTGACCAACGGCGAACCCTCGTCGCATCTGGTTTCGACTTTTTGGCACATTTTGGTGAATATACACAGAAATGCTGGGGCAGGAAACAGAATCCGAAGGAAACGAGCTTCTGCTGTGCCAGCAAGTGTAGCAGACGAAGAAGACTCGCTCTCTTCCTGTCCTCACACCGAACAATACTCCCTCTGCGCTGGGTTGTGCTGAAAGTACTCTTACAGCTGTTCCTGCCTCGCTTCAGCTCCGATCAAAGGCAACTCTCTCGCAGCTGTGTTGAAGGATCTGGGCGTGTTCCTGCTGTCTCTCTGCTTCTCCTTCTCCTCGTCAGTGCTCTTCCTCTCTCGCCCTTTCGTTCCTCCTGTCCTCAGTTGTAGCCTGCCGTGTGTCGCAGCCTCCTGGCAGTTCCTCGTGTACCCTCCCGCCCCCGTTCTTATTGCCCCCCCGTGTAAGCTCCACCCCCCTCTGTCCCTTTCATACCACCCCACCCCCTCCTCACCCCCACCCCATGGACGCCACCAGTGACCTTCTTTTCTTCCCATGAACCTTTCCTAAAGTACCCACCCCTCAGTCAGTACCCCCTGTCGGTGGCCCATAAACTACCGGAAATCTATTTGTGAGTAGGGGTAGTCTTGACCCACCCACCCCCCCTCCGTCCAGTCTTCGGACTTCTGGCATCATTCGTGGCTCAAACAGAACCAACCCCCTTCGAGCTTCAAGATTACCCTACCCCACCTCCGACTTTCCCTTCACTGCATGGGTAGGGGTCTGGGTAACCCGTGTTTCAACAGGTCTACCCACCCTGCTTTACAAATCTACATGGACTACCCTCTGTTGACTCGCTCAGAACCCATTCGCGGACATAAAGGAGAACGATATACTATTATTTTTATTCTAGTACTAACAGAATACAGTCAATGATGTCTATCGTACAAATTCTTGTTATGTAAGAAAGAAAAATGAAGAACTGTTCACGTTATAGAAAGACTTATGGCGAAAAAGACCCCTGCCTTGCCTTCAAAGTATGTACCCCACCCCTTTGAGAGCGACAGGACCAGCATTCTCATTTCTTCACCCCCACCGTTCGCCACCCTACCTTGTATTTTTCGTCTCGTGACCATGATCACCCCCACCCCCTAAAACCCCTTCGCTCAAGATCTCAAAATCTCCCAAACATCCAATAAAATCACACACTCACTACCCACCCCATGGTAATGAAATAATAATCATGTCAATCTACGAATTATCCCACCCCTACCCCCGCAATCTGCTTCTCTCCATCTCCCTTCTATTTGATAAACATCTTTTATTTAAGTCTAGTATTAGACGATAAGGACTTACCTTCCATCTATAGCTAAATTCATTGGACCTTATCACCCCCCACCCCTAAAACGCTCTCATGTACAACCTTTGTCCCTGCTTGGCTCTCATCACCCCACCCCCCATGGCCCTCAGTGTTCCTGTCTGTCTTTTTGAGCCCAAAAAACAAATCTCCTCTGCTTGTAACTGGGGCGCCTTCCCACTACCCCTTCTGTTACCACCCCCACCCCTAATTTCCCTGCCAGTTTTCTGTCCATTTTACTTGTTTCGAGTACCCCACCGGTCCTGTGATTTACTGGGTGTTCTAAAAATCTTTTTTATTACGGGGGTGTCGCACGAGTCACGTTTCGGTTCGGGGGTCACGTGTTGACGTGCCCTGCACGTGTGGCTACCCACCCACAATACTACCCCTACCTACAAAAATGGTTCGATACCGGTCTTTTAACAGCAGAAAGAACCCGTGTTTTCCGACACTATTGACTACCCTCCAACACTAAGTGCCCCCCTACCCCAACGTTGAGCACGCGCGTCCTGGCATGGCTTGAAAATCCACCGTCGGAGTGAGGTCGAGAGACTACCCCTACCCATGAATCTAGAACCCTTGAAGTCGGTTCAACCCCATCCCACATACAATGTCCTTCCTCTCACTTTCCTTAAGTAAAGTCATAATGAATATCAGGTACCCTCTTTACTATCGCAAGACTCGGATGCCCCTACCAGCAACCTTGAGACTTTGGAGGACCCCCACCCCCTTGACGGCCCTAGAACTTCTTCCAGGGCTACAGAAACTGTTCCGCCTGCGACTCTCTAAAACATATCTACAGAACAGACTTGTACCACCCCCTTTGCCCTGGTCAAATGCACCCCCGCAATGCTTCTTTACTACACTTTATAAATCAGAATCTCAGGAATACAGTTCGGGGTCGGCGGCAAGCCTAGAAGGGAACTTCAAGTTCACTTTGAACTTTTGATTTGATTGCATTCAATTTTGAAATTGTCTCTAGACTATATAAATACGAACGAAATGGTTACCCGACGCCGTTTCCTGCGCCCAAAGGACATGGCGATGGGTTCCTACTGCGCGGCTAGCCTTCTTTACTCAAAGTTAAGTTAAAAATCAGTACCAGTCAGTGTTACTCGGCAAAGTTACTTGAGTTAAGTTAAAGGAGCCACCGCCGGTGTGCCACATTCGGAGTCCGATTCAACAGGCGGGCTTGCCGGGCCGGGACGGTTCAACGCTGAAAAGTTTGAAACTTTTGCCAGACGCCTAAATTCAAGTTCGCGGCGGGCCGGGCCGCCGGTGCTTCAGTGAATACTGAAGTTTCAACTTTGGCACCGGCGCCGGTGCCACGGTGGCTGACCGATCGGATCGTCACGGCCCGGCCGGGCCGGGCCGGTGGGTGGGTCAGCCTGGGGTCACGGCGGATCGGGCCGTAAATTTTGACTTCAGTGACAAAAACCGGGCCGGGCCGCCCCGCCCGCCCCGCCCGGCCCGCCGGGCGGCGTCGCCGCACTGTGACTCGTGGGCCGCCGCGCACGCACCGGGAAGGCCCAATATCAAACTTATTTATATCGAGAACATTTGCAGTGAAAAGTTGAATTTAAACTAGGAAATTTCAATAAAATACCTGAGGCGGGCCGCGGCTTCTTGCCGCCGCCGCTCGAGGGGCAGGGCTGAACTTTCAAGAAACGGATGGCTAAAGTTCCAAATTGGGTCCATTCTGAGAACTTCTCGTGTCGATATCAGGAACTTTTAGTGTGATTTTTTGGAACATTCCCAAGTCAAGGACGCGGAACCCTGCAGAGGCAGAACTTTAGCGAGGCCACTGCCGCAATGCCGTCTGACTACAACAAGGGCACAAAGGTATGTCGAGGAGGGGGCGGCAGCAGCAGGAGGAGGAGCAAGAAGGAGTTTCTTGAAGAGGATGGAGTGAGTTGGCTGGAGGCTGGGAGCTTTAGGAGGGAGGCAGGGAGGGAACGGCCTCATGATAGCGCACAGGCTTGACATGTTGGTGGCTTACCAACGGTGCAGGTGTTTGTCGGGAATCTCCCTGCCCACGCCGAGAGCAGAGATCTTCGCGATTTCTTCCGTGGGTTCGGGCAGCTCAACGATGCCTGGGTGGCGCGCAAGCCTCCTGGCTTCGGCTTTGTTTGGTTCGAGGATGAGAGAGACGCGGTACTTTCTCCCATCTGTCCTCGTGCTCCTGCAAGGAGCCTGAGAGAAAGACACATGTCCGTTCGATCGCCTTGAGCTGCGACTTCTTGTTGCTCTTCATCGCCACCCATCGAGCCGCTCAACACAGCGACGACTCCCTCCTGCTGCACTCCCTTCCGTCCATCCTGCCTTCTATGTCTGCGATTATGCTGCCCATCGTTGTCTAGCGTTCCATCGCCTGCTCCGTCCGTACTGGACGCGCCAACAGCGCGATGGAAGATGACAGATGTGCTTGACTACAAATCTGATCCTCCTTCTCGTAGAAGGATGCCTGCCGTGATCAAGACGGAAGGGACCTCCTCGGAAACCGAGTAAGGTGATGAATATCAGGATTGTCTTTGCTTCCCTTGACCGTGGATCAGAGTTGAGATCAGCAACGGGCGAGGAGGAGGAGGAGGAGGAGGACGACGTGGAGGAGGAGGAGGAGGAGGGGGAGGAGGAGGGTACGGCGGAAGATACGACGAGTCCCCAAAACGGTACGGCAGGTCGCCGTCCCCTCGTCGAGGACGCTCTCGATCTCGCAGCCGTTCCAAGGAGAGAAGGTCACCCCCTAAGGTGAGGAAGGAGCCAAGAGAAGGAGGAGAGTGATTCCAGCGCCAGGATCGGGAGAGGAGGGAGAGAAGCCGGAGCGCCTCAGGTAAGGCTGCTGCCTTCGGGGTGTTGTCGACTGATCCTAGTCCCTCCAGGTGGCCGCACCGAGAATCGTGAAAGGAAGTCGCGTGAGAGAAGCTAAATGCTTCGGAGATTGCGTCAAGATCAACATGCTCCATGTCATGTCGTGTGTAACGCGATGCTCGTAATCCTTTACTGAGATGTCAACAATCTTGCTACTTTGCTCCTGTTCCTTCTCCGTTCGGCCTGTCCTGTGCATCCTCTTCCCCTTTCCCTCGACCCCCGCCACCTCTTCCCTCTGAGCTTTCGTTTCGCCCTTGTGCTTCTCTTTCACTATTACGAAGCTTTCAAGCCGATATCAGTGAACGCCCTTCTCGTCTTCATGGAGCTTTGCGAGGTCTTTTTTCCTGCTCAATGTCAGAGGCCTGGAGTGCAGCGGTCCTTTACCGACAGCTTCTGCCGATAGAGCTTGCTGGCTGCCGTGGCGAAGGCTATCCTCTCTGCGTTCTACTCGGGCATGAGAAACATCGGGAGCATGGGCGGTCACCTTGGCAACTAACTGGAGGGAGCCCTGGGGAGTGAAGGTGTTGTCCTTCAGAAGAGCCTGCCCGGTCTGTCAACGCGCGGATCAGGAGGGAGACGCAGTCACCTCCAACGGGTCCTTCTGCTCGCCCCACTGTCCTGCTCAGCCTCTGCTTTCATCGGCACACTAGCCGGCATCCCCTTGTTCCGCATCGCAGCTGCTGCTTGGAGCTCGCGGATTACTTTCTGCTGTGCTTCTGCCTGGTGGCAGGAAGCGATGAGATAGAATCGTACGAGAATCAGGAGATGGCCGCACCTCCTCCTCAAGCGCCATCCTCTTCTCGCGTGCGGCGGAAGCAAGCTGGACAAGTTTCAGCGTTTGAGTGCTGGGAGGAGGCAGACCTGGTGCAAGGTTGCTAGCTTCTTCTCTTCGTCCCACTGCTTCTTCTCCTGCTGCTCTCGGACTTCAGCCCTCTGTCGCTGCCCATCAATCTCTCTCACCTGCATCCTCCGCTGCTCCGCAACCGCCAGCGTTAGGAGGGAAGGGATGAACTTTGCTGTCGCTGCTTCGCCTGCACACCATCAATTCCTCGTGCTCGTGCTCGTGCTCGTGCTCACTCGGCTTCAGGGGCAGCACTACGTAGGAGTTGTCGTTCCCCGATGCAAGCTTGCCGTACTTCCTTCCCGCTACCAATCCGTGTCAAGAATCCATGTTTGGTTGGCAAGGGACGAAGGGAGCGAGCAGACGAGGAGGATGACACTGGAAGGGAGGAAGGAGCGGAGGAAAGTTGAGGATGGAGATCAGAAGAGCAGCTGGACAAGGGGGAGGGTTAGAAGGGGCACCTTGTAACCCAGCCTCATATTCTCTCGCATCGAGCTGACCCTTCTGGTAGGCCTGCGCGGCGAGCTGACACACTTTCGGTAAGAACGAGCGAGAGAAGAGCGGCAGGAGCAGGAGCAGGAGCAGGAGCAGGAGCAGGAGCAGGAGCAGGAGCAGGAGCAGGAGCAGGGGACCTCTCCCTCCTTGTATGCTTGCTCAGCATCTTCAATGTCCTTCTTTTCCTTGAACATGCTGACCATGCGCCTTCTCCTCTCCCTTGAACGCACGATGCTCAGCAGCTGCCCTGCCGATAGTTTCCGACGGGGAGGGGCCCGAGAGGACGTTGGAGTAGCCACAGCAGCATCTTGAAGAGGATCGGCCGTCTCCCTGGAGCCTCCGTGGTTCCGAGGGGAGGAGGAAGCTTTCTTGCCGTGTGCCTCCTTCCTCCTCGTCGTGACCGACGCTACCTCAGGAGGTTTCACGTCCTTGGCCTCAGCCGCTAGCTTCTCGTCCAGCGCCTCGCGTGCTCGCTGGATGGAAGCAGCGAGTTTGCTGTGCTCTGGGACTCGGATGGTGCCGCTGGCACACAGATATCACGCGCTCTACTGCCCTGCTCCTCTCCTCCTCTCACCTCAACATGCCCTGGGCTACTTCACGCGCTACCTTTTCTCTCTCCTGTGTCAGGCCTTCAGCTGAGGTCGAGGAGGAGGGGGCACTGGCACAGTCTCAGCACAAACAGGATGCATGCTCCTCCTCACCTTCCCACACGCTCAAACTTCGTCCCCTTCATCCTTCCATGGTAGGCCTTGCGGATACAATCGAGAGGGTGGGCGAACCAGTCCGAGGAACACCCGTCGCTAGCAGCGTTGGCACTCTGTAGGAGAAGAGGAAGAGGAATGTTACAGAAGGCGAAGACGACAGTTGTGCATGCAGTTTGAGCAGAAGGTGAAAGATCGCAAGAGAGAGGCACACCTTCTCATGTGCTCCCTCTTTGGCTCCCTTGCTGCCTTGTATGCCTCTTACCGGCGTGCTGCCGCTGGCAGATGGAGCTTTCATCATGCTGCTGATGACTTGGTTCCCTGACAGATTCTGTTGCTCTGCGAGACTCTTGGAAGGATCGAAGGGTTTCCAGTCCTTCCTCATCCCCTGCCAAGTCTCTCTAGCTCTCGGCTCTTCCCTTCCTTTCCCTCGCCTTTCCACGTCACTGTATGCCTTCCTCATGAAGCGAGGGATGTCTTGCGCCGTTGTTCCCCTGCCCCTGCCTCTTCCTCCGCTCGTTTCCTCTGGCATAACAGGATGCACATTCTTCGCCCTCTCCTCTCTGTCCCCTCCCCGTGCTCCTTCACCGTCAAAGATGCTGCCTAGAGTTGACTTGAGCTGCTTCCTGACCCTCTCCCGCTCGTGGAGGATGCGCATCAGGCTCTTCTCGCTCAGTACAGTCGCCATGCTCTCTCTTCTCTCCTCCTCCTTCGCATTCCTCGCGCTCATCGTCATCACGACCGCCGCTG